AGGGGGGGGGGGGGGGAAGAGACGAGGGGGGGGGGTGGGAAAGAAAGAAAAAGGGGGGGGGGGGGGAAGAGAGGCAGGATCCAAGGTGGGGGGTAGATAGAAGGAGATAGAGACAGAGCCAAGGTGGGATGAACAGAAGTAGAGGCATACCCCTGCTACCCATCCCCCCCCTTCACCCCCCCCCGAGGCAGCCCCATTCTCCTTTCACCCATATTTTCCCCCACTTCTCCACCCCATAAATGCCCCTTAGTCTCCAGGCCACCAAGCATTCATGTTCTAACCTTTTGGTTTAAAGAGAAAAACAAAACCAAAAAACCCCTTTGATTACATTCTGCCAAAATAAAGTAACTCTGGTAGGAGATGTGAGAAGGGGGGTCAGGTGAGGGACATATGGGGGTGACCACTAACTCCTACCAATAAACGTTTCTCTAACTCTTTAGAAAACTAGGAAATTAAATAGCAAAAAACTTCCTTAAGACAGTGTTACGGTTGCCAGGATAGCTCATGCTCCTCCAGACTGTCAAGGGGGGGAAGGATAGCTTAGTGATTTGAGCATTGGCCTGCTAAACCCAGGGTTATGAGTTCAATCCTTGAGGGGACCACTTAGGGATCTGGGGCAAAACTCAGTACTTGGTCCTACTAGTGAAGGCAGGGGGCTGGACTTGATGACCTTTCGGGGTCCCTTCCAGCTCTATGAGATATCCTAATCACAAGTCTTCCAGCCTGGTCCAACTTACTCCTCCACCATTCAATATAACTACACCTAACACAGCTGGAGTTTCCAGCGGCTATTGCCAGCTGCATGGGAGCAGAGTTAAGGCTGTGCGGGTGTTTACCTTAACCCTGAATTTCCCAGGTTTCAGAAGTTTGAGTTTTGCTGAACTTGACGTTCTGGAAGGACACCAACTATCACCTGGCAACCTTAACTCTGTGTTAAATTTTTTTGCCATTTAATTAAATAGCAACTGATATACATGCTCTCTGGGATATTACTTCTTCCTTTAGATTGACTAGGGAGTCCTGTTTTCTCTATGTGAGCCTTTTAAAGACCCAATCCTACACACACCAATTACTGAACATAGTGATTCCTATAGCCCAAATTCTGTTACCCTTAAAGAGGGTGAGTGGTACATTACTTTGTGAACTGTCCCATTGATTTCATGACATACTGTACCACTCATCGAATATAAGGGTGACAGAATCAAGGGTGACTGGGAATTTTCCCATTGGCTTCAATGGGGCCAGGACTTCACCTTTTTGTCTTGTATGGCCATCAATCATGTGGTCAATACTTACCAAATATTTCAGAATCATAAAATCTCACTGTTCTAGAATGGAAACCTTTCCTTAAAACGAAATTTAGAAGCTATCCCACTCTAGTCAATGTAAATGTTTAATATTAAAAACTTGGGCTAATCTTTTCATTGGTCTGTGACAGACTTGAATATCTTTGAAAAAATAATTGCCCACTTCACTTGAAGTGGTCTCCTCCAGCATCTGTGAACCACTTATCCTTAGCAACTTGTCCCCACCTTGTATTTAGCTTACACACACTGGTTAGCTTCCCCAGGCCCAAAGAAGAGCTCTGTGAAACTCAAAAGCTTGTCCCTTCTACCAACAGAAGTTGGTCCAATAAAAGATATCATACCTCACCTGTCTTGTCTCTCTGAACAAATAAGTAATTATTTGAAAGATACATTTCACAGTCAACTTGAGACAGCTGTATCAGCAGTATCATTTAATGAAAATTGTCACAAAACAGACAAATTATATATTGCTGTGCACCAATAGCGGAAACTAACTAATCACAGTAAAGACAGTGAAGAGTGTTCAGAATCCAGATGAAGACTCTCAAAAAAAAAAAATAATAATAAAAAAAATTATATTGTGAAGAGTTGTAAAGATATTTAACTGCTAAACTCCCATATGACTTCATAAGACTCTCTCAGCTTCAATTTTATTGCATGTGGAGAAAAATCTTTAATTTACTATATATAGGATTTTAATTTTTGAAAGCAAGGATAATCCAAGTGATTTGAATGTTTTCCCATTTCACTAGCAAGTGGCTTATTTTCCACAGATATTCACATAGGTTTACTACACTTATTGTAGGTACAACCAGAGGGATATATGCAAATATAGTATTGACCAGAGTATAAATGATTTGTCTTGACAACTTATAATGTAGTCTAAAGTATGTGATTATGCTGGCCTATTTCTTAACTCAGGGGAAAAAAAGAGACGTATGCTATCTCACATAGGAAGTCTTGCATATGCTATGCAGTGAGGGCTATAAACATATTCAACTTAGAATATGCATTGTGACACTGAAGTACAGGGACTTCAGCCAAGACTTCAGTCCCCTCCCCACTATCATCTTACTCTTCAGATTCTTGAACTTTTTGCACAGCAATGTCAGCTAAGCTGGTCTCGCTTTTAGACTGATTGTCAGGACGAGGTTGTGGGGCCGCTGGCTCATTGTTAAGCACACTTTCCTCTGTTCTGTCAACTGCATGATTTGGATCCACTTCTTTGGTAGCTCCTGGGTGAAGGTCTGACTGCTCCTCATTTGTGGAACTAGGATCAGCTGCCTGTGCTTCATCTAACAAAACAAAAAAAAGACACACACACCTCATAAACCCCATCATCAACAAACCCCTGGAATACCCACACAAGAAGTGGACATTGTTATTCTTAAGGCTGAATTTGGCAGGTATGTTCTCTTTGTTTCACTGAGAAGTTTATTCACCCTGCTATCAAACAAGTTTCCTAATATTTATTTTTCTAAAAGTAATAAGGAAGCAGGACTACATTAAGTGACCTTAGACACAGGAATTCTGCCTAAGGCAGGGGTAAACAAACTATGGCCTGGGGGCTGCATCCAGGCCTCGAGCTCCCGCTGGGGAGCGGGGTCTGGGGCTTGTCCCACTCCGTGCAGCTCCCAGAAGCAGCAGCATGTTCTTCCTCCGGCTCCTAAGCGTAGAGGCAGCCAGAGGGCTCCACAAACTGCCCCAGCCCCAAGCGCCACCCCCTGCTGGGAACTGCAGCCAATGGGAGCTGCAGGGACAGTGCCTGCAGACAGGGCCGCCTGGCCATGCCTCTGCTTAGGAGCCATAGGGGGGACATGCTGCTGCTGCTTCTGGGAGCTGCTTGAGGTAAGTGCTGCCTGGAGTCTGCACCCTGACCCCCTCCTGCGCCCCAAACCCCTGCCCCAGCCCTGACTCCCCCTCCCCCACCCTCCAAACCGCTTGGTCCCAGCCCAGAGCACCCTCCTGTACCCCCAACCTCTAGGGTCTACTTAGGGGTCAGAGTGATTAAAAAAGCCCATTTTGGCTCCTTAAATTTACATGAGATGGTCACTAGGTGGTGTGTTTTCTGATATACTAGTAACTGCTCTGCAGTAGTATTTTCACAGCCCAACTGAGGAGAGCTACTCTCCTGTGAGTAAGGCAAGAATGACATGGCTCCTGTATTTTGTAACTGCCTACAA